GGGAAATAACTAAAATCCCACAAATCACTGCATAACCTAGTTAAAAGGGATGGAGAAATCTAAACTCTTTTAAATGTTGATTATATATATTATAGGCTATTGCAATTAAATTGGCGCGTTTTTCGTGTTTTGACTTTGATTGGTGGAATTTTATGTATATCCTATCATGGATAATGTGGTTTTCATGACGAATTCCTCTGTTAAACATGATTATTTTAAGAATAAGTTGAAATAATGTGGGCAAAGAACTTCAACAAAAACAAATACCAATCGATTTACAACTTTCAGCTCACAGTAGGTCTGTCTTTAAAGGTTTATAGATTATCAAGAAAAGGATTTTACTTCTGGAACCCAACTGTTGTGCACTATAGTTTTACTTAGAACTAACGTCACTTTACTGAGTCATTATTGCATTGATTTGTTTTTACCAACTGGTGCTTTCACAGACACACACATGTGCACAATCGCACACAATCACTCACTAAGCTTTACCAGGATAAGAGTAACCGTAGTTCATCATATTTACTATGACCTTCCATTATTATTCCTCTAATGTGCTGTTTTATAGTATAACAAAAGTAATTTTATGAAATGTTTTCCTTAAAAAATTGCATGTGATGTTCATCATAATTTAATAAATGTGCTTAAAAGCATCTGCTACAATCACTATTTTCAGAAACTTGATGTCATTTTTCAAAACTCTAGACACAAAACTCAAAGTGGTTATCACTTGTAACACAGGCTTTAAAGAAATCTTGCACTTACACAATCATTGGTTCAAAAAACAAATTACAACTTGAAAAAAAAACTATCTTTATTCAAAATAAATACCACTTGGATGGATATTATCTAACGCAATAACATTTTAAGTGTGTTTTAGGTATTTTGGGGCCACTGTTGTGTGTGACTGTGAGAAAATCTGGCATAACGCACCATATGCATGTGAAAAGTTGATCCTTTACATCTGCTTCAATCTCAGTGCGGTTTACATTTAAACTCCCATCATCTCCCACAGCTTTCTCTTATCTGCGTAAAATGAAAACCCAAGTGGCTCCAATCTCTCAATCTGAGTCTTATCAACAGGTATGTTCCGGCTAAGCTGGACACATAATGCGGGATTCATCTTTGGATCTGTACACCACTGGCGATCGGCGTTTTATTATAGGATGGTAACCCAATTGATGCCAGGCTCATCTTTTAAACTAAATGTTGCTGACGGTCAAAGCCTGGCTTGTTAATGAGTCAAACAGGAAAGGTTCGTTGTTTTTAGGTAGCAAATCTAATAACGGCAAGGGCCATGTGGACTCTGAAAGACATTAAAAATATAAAAAGAGCTGGGAGGGAGGTTCCATCAAAACTGGTGGTGAGCACACACACACAAATAAATCACGCCGGGATATGCGTTATCACATTGTAAAGTACATGGTGAATATCTGTAATAAGTCTAACAAGGCATTTAATGTAATTTTACAAGAAACACTGTTAAATTGACAGCTTTGGGAAGAGAAAAAGAACATGTCGTCTTTTAATTTATTTTGAAATAAATAGATAATTTGGTTAAATTCCATGTGTGACGTCCCATTTGGTGATTTTTCATTTAAATAAAGTTATTCGTTGTCAGTTAGCCATGCACATTAAGGTGTCGTGTTACATCTTATGTTGCTAAATGAATATTTGATCATGTTTTGCACGATCCTGCACATTCTATAAAACTCAGTTGTGATTCATAATGTTGTTTTCTCATTTCCAGCTTTGTCAGTATTATAAAGGCACAACCGAGATTTAAGTAGGTTGGTATATTAGTAAAAAAAATATAATTTTGTTTATTGTAAATATAAGTTCATAAGTGTCATAATGTTCTAGCAACTGTGACGTTTTAACAGACAATTTCACAATGCACTTATTCTCATCAAGTATAGGCTAAAAAAATGTTTTTACAGAATTTAGAGCTTTTGCCTTTGGTCACGCTTTATCCAAATTAGATCCAGAAGGAGATCCAAGGCTTATCTTTGACTCTTAAAATACATGACCCATAATCTGAAGGTGAAACGTTCATTGGCACGAACAGGTCCCATGCATGAAGAACCTCGGAAAAGTTCTTTGAGGTACCAAAAATGATTATTTTATGGCGTTGGAGTGAAAACCCTGAATGAATGCTCCCATTACCTTTAATTATAGAGTGAAGGAGGCCTTTTCATGTAGATTGTCATTAATGTGTCACCTTCTCTTCAAACACTAGTTTTCTGACGTCCCCAGGTCTGTCAGTGGGTGTAATTGTGTTCGCAGCAACTCCCTTATCCTCACATGCTCCTGAAAGACAAAGAAATGTTAGATTAGTTCAGGTGAAGTATGGTGTCATTTTCTCTCTTCTCATTGATTCTAGATTTGATCGAGGACTGGACTGGAGGAATATTCGGGTTTATTCATATCTGACATGCCGTAAAATCACCACAGCAAATGTTTTACTTCATAAAAAATAAACACAAAAGTGTTCAGCTATTCATTTTCAATGGTGAACCATGCATTGTCCCATTGACACAAACACAACACAAGTGTTCAAAGAACTTAACTCATTTTTAACACAATCAGTTTGTTGTTCTAACTTGGCTCAAACCTAAACAATATGTTAAATTATTTTGCAAGGTTACCCGGAAGGAAAGTGCATTGTTTGAGACAGGAAGTTTAGCTTACCATTAATGGGGGAAGAATCAAAAATAGAACAACTTTCATTATGCAGAGGGACGACTTCCTAACCAGTTCAATGTCTACGGTATCAGTAATTCTCATTCATTGTAATGCCTTCCTCTCCAGCTGTCTGCATCTTCTTTACCTCACATCTCCATATCTCTCCCACTCAACATGTTTCCCCTCATTATTTTCCATGAAATACAATTTAGGCACAATGGAACAATGCAATCTGGCATCTTTTTTTGCAATGCCATAGAATAACCATTTTGGGTTCTCCTGAACCTTTCAGTTAACAGATCTTAAAAGAACCATTTCTGAACCAATCTGCTATCTTTTTTTCTGTCAAATCAACTTAGAAAATGAAAAATATTGAGTTTATATTTATTAAACAAATCTTCGTTGTATTAACTCAAATTTTTAATTCCAACAAACTCAAAAATCTAAGGCAAGGTAACTTAATTTTAAGTTCAACCAACTATCATTGTTTACAGAAGCCTACAAAGAACCTTTTTGCAATGGATGTAAAAGTTTCCAGGAACCATTGATCACAATACATTTTTAAAGGTGTATTGCGACATTGCAAGAGGTCAGTCTTGAGCAACAGACATTGTGAAACACATAGTGAAACTTTCCAGTGCTCGGTACACCACTTGTCCAATCAAATCAGGACAAGAACAAACTGTATAAATGACGTTTAAACTAATGAACGATTCCTCTCTTCCGGCATCCCTCGCTTCATTCCTTTCTCTCTCGGGCAACCCCTCGCAAGTGACATCATACTTTCTCCTACTTTTAAAATAAGAATAGCCATCTCCATGTTTATTTTTCCACAGACTCCCAGCACTGTCTGGAATATTGTGTAACCATTCATTCCTTTTCTGCTGAGTTGCTGACACGGATATGAAAAAGCAGAGGAACAGTGTACATTTGTCTCTTATCTGTTCCTTCATTGTCATTCATAAACTTCTGAGGTATAGCTCTAATATTTCATTCAAAACACCAAGAAGTTAAGGACCTGGAGACAGCTTCTCTCTCTCTTCATCTTTCTAACATCAGTGCTGGAAATGTAAACTCACTTTGGAGAAGAGCTGTAATTACCGCACTAATCCATTATTCTTTTTTCAATTTCATTTTTCATATAGACACAGCATGAATCAGTTTTTTCAATTAGCCTACGGACTACGGCTACGGCAGCCAATTAAGTCAGTTCTTATAGTCTCGATGTTTTCTGAACTCTGAAGGTAGCCTATAAAGTGTCGTAGCTATATTTTTTATTTCTCATAAAACTTTAAAAGTTAGTAGGCCTGATGGAGTGAAGAGTTGTCTTGCATGTAAATGCCATTTACATGTAAAACACTATTTAAAAAGGCTCAAATGTGCTTTTGCATGTGCACAATCACATCTGTATGTCCCAGAGAAAATCGTTTGGTAGGAGAACCTTAACATGAACTGCCTTGACCTTGCACATAAACACACAACGTTGTGACAGTCAAACTGTCCTCAGGCAGGAAAGGGTCTTTTGGTTTTATTAAAGGTAAAATTGTTTTTTTCTGAACGAATAGCTTTCTCTAAACCTATTATGACCCATAACGTCTAGCGTTTATGGCATGTCTGTAAATTCATTCCTCAATTTGCTATGCCTCTGAAAACCACAAACCCTCATGTAGCCTAGCCCTAGATTTTTACTGACCTCTAGCTTTCACCAAAGATATTACAGTTCATGAACTTTAGATAAAACTTGTTGGATAAAAAAAGTAAAGATTAACAGTGATAGCTCCCATATTAGCAAATTTTTAAATCAATAACCTACCTGTTGTTGCACATTCACAATAATTAGGCCAACTAGATTCAATAATTATACTTATTTTGTAATTTCTATTTATGTTAATGTCTACCCGGACTTATTTGTTACAATAAACAAACAATAAATAGGCTATATTGTATTCAAACATTTAAAATGTAATAATTTATTTTATTATTCTGTTCTGTCTCCATGACGGCGCTATACTATGTCTATATACAATATATTGGATAGATCAATGGAGAGATATATTATTGTTTTGAAATGCATTAAGGGCGTTCTATTCATTTATTTGACCGTTTACAGTACTCATTCAAATAATATTTTTATCATGGTATGCATAAGTCGTATTATTATTTTTTGTTTGTATTTTACTGTCCTCGGCGCCCCGGGGCTTATTTTTTATTTGTTAAAAAAAACGGGTGGAGCCTTAGAACCACAAACGGCTCTGATTGGTCGAGAATGCTCCGTCTTTTGATCACGTGACACGTCAAGCCAATCACAGACTTGTTTTCACGCACGGGGAAGTGCTACGAACTGTTTGCATGTACTGTAGTCAGCCTTTACTGCAATGCAATTGTGCATGTGCAAAATCAAAAATCTATGCTAAAATACCGATAACCCATTATGATTAACAAGGATCCTCTATGGAAAAGAGTGCGGTCTTACGCTGGACCGGTTCCGAGAGCGAGGCATGGGCACCGGGCCGTGGCCATACGAGAGCTGGTGGTTGTGTTTGGAGGTGGAAACGAGGGAATAGCGACCAATCTGCATGTTTATAACTCTGGTAGGGCACTAGATAAACACCAACTGCATTAATGCTACAGAATACAGGCAATGCACTGTTAAAAACAACGAAACGCATGCACATTCCCATATAAATATTCAGACGTGACTTCAAATTGCATGTAATTCCCAGCAATGAATGCACTGGATTACTCTAACAAAACATACATTAAAATAGTTAGAAATGCATCTAAACTTTGATTATGTTTACATATTCAGTTTTAATGCTGATTGGTTAAGTAAAATAGTTAGAAATGCCCTTTTTAACACATAATGAATTTGAAACTTATTAACCATCCTATTATCCTTGGGGTCAATTTGACCCCATTCAATGTTTAACGTCTGTAAAAACAGTTTTATTTATTTATTTATTTTTTTTGCTTCAAATTTAATGACTTCTCCTAATTTAATGGGGTCAACTTAAAACGTTACTTAAGTAGTCAACAAAGACATAAATTAACTGAGACAAACCTTTGTAAAAAATAAATAAAATAAACATATTGTGGAGGTTTAAATTACTGGGGTCAGATTGACCCCAGAAGGTAAAAAGTGTTATCAGATTTGAGGGTAACAGGAGGGTTAATGTAAGTTATAAACCTTATATTTTAGTGACCAAGCAGTGGTTCCTACCAGCAGTGAGAGGTGATATCCCACCTGGTTGTGCCGCTCACGGCTTCGCTTGTGAAGGCACACGGATCCTGGTGTTTGGTGGGATGGTTGAATTTGGCCAGTATACCAACAGTCTCTATGAACTGCAGGTGAGCACTTGTGCCATCATAACATAGTCATCCCTAAATGAAAAGTGCAGTAAGCAATTTCTCTGTTGATATTTGAAATCCTTAAAACAAACACGCCGGCCATACCCAAAAGCATCACACCCCTATCTTGATATCCCCACCCACAAATTCACAAACACACTAGGCACCTCCCCCCTCACGATTAGACACTCCCCTTATTGCTGATTGGCTACAGGTGTGTTTTAATGCTCTTAATGCTTACTTTCAACAGCGTTTATCAGAAATCGTTTATTGCATCTTAATAGTTTATGATGGTAGGACATGGTTTTAGGAGGGCCCTGATATCAAATCTCTTCTCAGGCCAGTCGATGGCTGTGGAAGAAACTGAAGCCCCGCCCACCGAGGAACGCATCACCTCCATGCCCACGAATAGGCCACAGCTTCACTCTTCATGCTAATAAGTGCTACGTTTTGGGTGGAATGGCCAATGACAGCGAAGACCCAAATGGAAATATACCACGGTGTGCATATTAATAAGGAAATATTCATGCCAAACTCAAAAACGCATTCATACTTACATGGATGATGTATATTTGTGTCTCTCCGCAGCTATTTAGATGACTTCTACGAGCTGGAGCTGCAGGCCCAATCCGGGGTTAAAGGCTGGAGCATTCCTGAAACAAAAGGTGGAGGCCCGTCAGCCAGGGAATCCCACAGTTCTGTGGTGTACTGTGGCAAGGGTGGCAGTGCCCCAAAGCTATACATATTTGGGGGCATGTGTGGACACAGACTGAATGACTTGTGGCAGTTAGACATTGGTAAGACCTTATTCATATTCACAAAATAATCCATACGTCGTGTATCTCTTTATAAAAGAGTTCATTTGGTTCAAGCTGATGTCTTAATCATTTCAGAGACTATGACTTGGTCATTACCTCCAACCAGAGGGGAACCACCACTACCCAGAAGTCTGCACACCTCCAATGTGATTGGAAACAAGTAATTGGAAACTTAGATTTGCTCTAGAGACCTAAAACGAGAAAGATAATTAGTATTTTCATGTCAATTTGCATTTGAGATGTTTTTATAAAACCGCTACTATAAGCCTCCTGGGTTAGTCTTGATATTGGCGTCATGACTGAACCGCTCTCTTTCAACAAAGTCAAGATGTTCAGAGATGACGATGTTCAGTCAGAAGTCTAGTTTTGGTAACTGAACTGCATCTATATTGTCTTACCTCCCTCACGTTCTTAATCTTCTTGATTCTTCATTGTAGGTTATATGTGTTTGGAGGATGGGTTCCCGTCGGAGAGGCAGAAGAGACGCTCGCTGCTGATGGAGTCAAGTGGATCTGCACCAACTCCCTTTCCATACTAAACCTTGGTATGATCAAGAATATTACAATGATCCTGCAGCTACATAATCTGAGAAATCGCTTCACTAATAAGCTCTTGGTGTGGTTTGCTTACTTTAGACACACTGACATGGCATAACCTGACTCAGGAAGAACACCAGCAGGGATTGGCTTCAGGCGTACAGTCGGTGGAACAGGAAGAGGGCAGTGCACTCTGGCCCAAAGCACGAGCCGGGCACTGCGCAGTAACCGTCGGCACTCGTTTATATGTCTGGAGCGGGCGAGACGGATACAAGAAGTACAATAACTACCAAGTCTGCTGCAAAGATCTGTGGTACCTGGAAACAGGTGAGAAAAGATAGATGGCCATCATTGTACACTTTTGGACATTTCAATGAACATTTGTGTCATTTTGTGTGCGTAGAGAGGCCTTCCACTCCTGGTGCGGTGTTTCTTGTGAAGTCCACCATCAGTATTCTGCATGTCGCCTGGCGGCCCTTGCCTGCAGCCGAGTGTTACTTGCTTCAACTGCAGCCGGTCACGTCTCCTCATTCTGCTTCAGTTGAACCCCAGGCCTCAACAACTCCTCCACCAGACCCAGGAGACAGAAAGGAGCCTATGCAAAAAGGTAATACAACTTAAACATTCACAGGGTTCGTACGAGGTGCTTGAAGTAAATGACTTTTTGAGATTTAAGTCTTGGAAAACGCTTTTAGACAGTCATATTTATGAAAAGGTTCTTGAAAAGTGCTTGAATTACTGAAAGACAATAGGCTATATTACAAAATAGTGTTTCATTTTATTGATTAAAGAATCTTTAATCAATAGAAAGTCATTTCACATGGCTATGAACTTGATATTGCTTATAAATATTCAAGTATATGAGACAGCTTTTATTCTTTAGGTCAATCATATAGTCATGGGAGAAAAAAAATCAGGTTGAATAAAGAAAGCTGTGTATATTTGACATAGTATTATTTGTTAAAGTTACCACAGCCATTGCATGTGCTGCACTTTATTTCTACCATTTTGTTATATTAGTTTTTATTTTATCTATTTAATTTGTCTAAATTGTTATGAAAAAAAAACACTTACTAAAAATATGCTGCCATAAATATTTTTGAAACTTAAATTTTATATACATATTAAATGTGAAGTTATACATAATGACATAAAATCTAAATAAAAATTACACCCATTCCAATTAAGTAACTTTAATTAGTAATTAAAACTACAATTATTTTTTAAATAAAATATCAAAAGAAGTATATCTGAACAATGCTATGGAGTTCTGCATATGCAATCTTACTTGATGTGATGAAGTAGTATATGTATGTACCACAGCTGTAAGGTGCTGGAAAAGCGTAAAAATGCACCTTGGAAAAGTCGCAAGAACACAAATTATATATATTTATGTTATTTTCTTTTTTTTTTTCCCATCTGTCTTGACAAAGTTAAAGGAGAGAAAGAATCTTCATCACAGGTCAGATTTTTTGCATTTTAGTGGAATCTATATATATAATCTATATGTATATCTATAAATAAATCTCTTTTTTCTCATTTCAGGAAAGCCTTTTGAGGCCAGAAGGAATGAGTGAGGATGGGGCAGACATTCGACCAACAGGGGACAAAGGTAGAAAAGCAAAAACTGCTTCAATATGCATGTTTTTTTCCCACATCTAGTTAAGTACATATACCTGATAATGTATTTTTAATGTGCATTTTCAAAGATCAAAAAGGTGTTTCCGTGATGCCATCAGACATGAATAAGGCTGGTAAGTTAAATAGTGCACACACTCACTGTTTTAGTTAGCTGTGTCTACGGGTTCCCTCACTTACTGTTTCTATTCTCATTCACAGAACGAGAAATTTCTTCAAGCCCATCCCAACAGGTAAGAGTGTTACGTTGTGTCTCTATACTTGTTGAGCATATAATGTGTATAAAGCCCCTAAAAACACACTCACACATTTCTTCTCTGTGCCCTGACAGTCTGAGGTTACAAAAGAGTCTGTTTGGTTTGATGTGGGTGTGTTTAAAACACTGTATTGTGAGGTTACACACTACTTCCTGCCCTCTGAGAATGGTGACATGGCCTCAATCCTGTCTTCGCGAAACTCATCTGACAGTGAGGTTTGTCTGTGGTACACTACACACACCTACATTTAACGGTTTCCGGTTATGTCAGTGTGTTTTACGTCACCGTTTTTTCCGTCTGACAGTGGAAGTTGCCGGGTCCTCATAGTTTCACGGGTCACGAGAAGCAGGAACTGGCCTCAGGAGTCACGTACAAGTTCAGGGTGGCCGGACTGAACAGCCGTGGCCTGGGCGACTTCAGTCCCGTCAGCGAGTTTAAAACCTGCCAGCCTGGATTTCCCGGCGCTCCGTCTGCTGTGAAAATCACCAAGGTACAATCATTCTTCTCAGTGATGACAAAAACATTTTGTGTTCAAGGTTGATTAGATGCTATGTCACCATTTCAGGACTCTGACTCTGTGCACATCACCTGGGAGCCTCCCACCTCTCTGTCCGGGAAGATATTGGAGTATTCAATGTACCTGGCTGTGAGGAAGAGTCGAGGGAACAGCGTGGAGCGACCCGGGGAGCTGGCCTTCATCCGAATCTACCGCGGTATCAAGACGTCATGCACAGTCACTGAAGCCCAGCTGAGCAACGCTCACATCGACTGCTCGGCACGGCCTGCCGTCGTCTTCCGAATCGCTGCCAAGAACGAACAGGGCTACGGTCCCGCCACTCAGATCCGCTGGCTGCAAGGTGTGCATGAGCTTCTGAAGCTTTGACTAGCTTGATTTTTTTTCCCCATTTTAAAGAATTTCCAGAATCACCAAATAGCAAATTTCAAACTAATTCAGTTTCGATTTCATGGCAGGACTCCTAGGCAGACAAACAGTTACGGTGCCATAGTTTTTTCTGGATCAATTCCTTTGAAGTCCATGCAAAGTGGAATCGCAGCTTCATCTAACACAAATTTATAGCCAACTTACCTTTATGGCATTGTTGATGTTTATTGGCCTTTTCAAATTTGCGAATGGTTCAGCATTTAACCCAATACAACGTAAACTGTTCAAAAGTTTGGGGTCGATACGATTTTTTAAATGTTTTGAAGTAAGTTATGCTTGGCAAGGGTGCATTTATGTATCAAAATACAGTAAAAACAGTAATATTGTGAAATATTACAATATAAAAATAACTTTTCTATTTTAATATACATATTGGCATCATGTCACATGATCCCTTAGAAAGCATTCTAATATGCATTAATGTTGAACCCGTTGTGGTGCTTAATATTTTTTTTGTGCAATTTTACACAATTTTGTCCAAAGCAACTTACAATTGCTATATCCAGAGGTCGCACGCCTCTGGAGCAACTAGGGGTTAAGTGTCTTGCTCAGGGACACAGTGGATTCGAACCTGGGCCTCTCACACCAAAGGCATGCGTCTTATACACTGCGCCATCATTTTTTTAGAATCTTTTACAACATTATAAATGTCTTTACTGTAACATTTGATCGATTAAATGTCCTACTCAAATGCAACATGCAGTACAGTCCTAACAGCTGCTTGTGTCGTCCTGCAGACACGAGTAAACTGAAATCGTCAGTGACGCAGGCCGACTCCAGTGCTCCAGCAGCAGAGCCTGACACCACCTGCAGATGAACTCTCACCCCCGATGGATCCCACTGACATCCGAGGCTATAATACTTCAGGACTGCATTTTACTCTATCGTTACACAAGGCCTTTTTAATATAGCCCATTTAGTGACCTCACTGCTTTGATTGACTTTTAATGTCATGGCATTGTTTACACTTAGTTAAATAATACCCCTACTGGGTCATTATTACTGTTAAGTCATGTACATTTTACTTTAACACTTTTTATACTGAGTTCATAAATATAGTTTTATTAAACTGTTGTAGCCACTGGCAACACTTTTTTCCCCCTCTCTCTTGAAATTGTTTTAAAACAAAGTTCGGGAGGAGCACGTTCAAATAATTGATCCCATTATTACATCATTCCAACCAGCCGTCGACAATCAGTAATCAACATGTCTATCCTCACCTTGAGTTGGAGACCCATATCTATATCTATATACATACATTCATTTGACTCACCAATGTTCCTCGACAGTTTTTCAGCATCCTTCCACCACCTCATCTCCGCACACACTCGCCTGGTTACTTCTTAAGCCCAAACCTGATTAATTTAGGTGTGCCTGATTATTGTTGCCGTGACTACTGATGTCAGACACACCTGGATTAATCAGTTTGCCCAATAATGGTAGACAGGAAACAAGGAGCTGGCTGAAGTTCAGGAAGTAGTGCAGCTGTGCATAAAGCCAATTGCTAGCAGTTTGGACATTTTTTTCCCTTTTTATAAAAGCCATCAAATTCTTACTCTAAACTGAATTTTATTGAATAACTTGGAGGAAACGTTATTATTATACATAAAACAGTGCAATTTAAAGGTATACAATATAACTTCTAACCCTCTAGCAGTTAAAAAAAAGCGGCTATAGTGACGCAATTTCCCACAAACACCATCTAGACGGGTCTTACCAAAGTGAATCAGGTTAAGACAAATGTTTTAAAAGAAGACTTGAGGATGTATTGACTTTGTATAAATTGAGTTGATTTTGAACAAAAAAGTTACATAGTGTACATTTAAATAGAATAATCCAAGCAATGATCAAGTTTTGTTAACATCACAAAAACACAGTCCTACATTTTGACAAGTTTCTTGATTATGTAATTTTCAGTGCATTATACATAGTAATAAGCCTGTTTTACTTATCAGACTTCTGGAGGATTTTTAATATCCCATTTATACAATTGCTTATGCAGTTGTACATTGGAGATTGTATCTGTATTAATGTTCCTTTAACATTTCACTAATCTAGAAAACTACAAAGAGTATTAATGCCACAGATTGCACCATTTCAAACTGAGCTCTTAAAAACATCTATTTCTTCATTTACAGACACTTACACATTCACTATGTGTGCATTCTCTGGAACACCTAGAGCCCTTTCTTGATGGCAAATTATCTGAGAAAATATTTGACCATTTTTAAACCAATTTTCCATTCATTTTGAACTGACTGTTTTTTTGTTTTGTTTTATATTTGTTCCACAACATTTAAGTCAAACATATATTTTTGCCACATTCTCTTAAGTCTTTTTGTATAAGCTAAAGTTGACTAAAAAGGGCATTGCAATAAAATCCATACATTCAAATGAATTTTGATCTTGACCATTTTTTTTATTTTCTATAAATGTTTTTTTAAATATATATAAATATAGACTTTTGAATTACTTTTTAAAGGACATGCTGAACAACCTTCAAACAAAGACAGATCACATTTTTATTCAAAGACTCAGCATAACAATGTCAGTTAATGAGGTTATTTAAGATCAAATGACATCAAATTAGAATTCCCTTACTTGTGGGTATTTAAATGGTCAATACGGCCTTGTCTTCCCACTGCCCCATCCCAAACTTTAAAAATTATTAAATACCAAAAAAAAAAAAAAAAAAACTAATAAGAACAAAAACACAATTTGGTATGCCCTGTACCAAGCAGACCAATCAAAACACACTGGTCTAAATATAATACTGAATTAATTACAAGACATCACTTAAGATCAAATTAGCCTCCTGGCAACAGGCACTTTTGTTCCTGCTCTGGTAACCAGGCATCTCTTGGTCTTCCAGCACTGACCTGAACACTGTGCAAGGCAAGAGATAAGTCTGTCTGGAAACTGGACAGGCCACTAGATATAGTCGGCCTGTTCTTCAGTCATGAGAATTGTATTTGCTGAACGCCAGGGATCTAAAGGAGTAGAAAAAGAGAGACGGTTTAAATAATGAGCATAACTAAAACCTCCAGTCGGTCTAATCTTCAGTCATAAAATCTGTGGGGTAACATACTAACCTGCTGGTATGAGGTGGTGTATACCATCACGTTCTGTTGCGTGCCATCAGCAGTGATCAGTCCTGCAGGCAACTGTCCGGCTGCAAGTGAAAGTATTATATTAATTCATCATTGAAACCCTTTAAAACACCAATAGCTGTAAATAAGGACAAATTGAAGGGTGTGGTATGTTTCAATGACATCAAATTTTCTGAACAAGGCACTTGCTAAAGAGTTTATGTCTAATGTCAACTCTGAAGGGAAATACAACTTACTGAAGGAGTCATCTGTTAGTTCTTCACCAAGGCCTTCGCTGACTGAAACCGGAGTGATGCCTTTCTCACCCTTCATTGCCTTGGAAACATGAACATGTAACTTGTAACTTCCAAACACAATTTGTGCTCTAAAACACATTGACATCCTGGAATATTCGATTTCATGACATTTTGTTTCACTCAAATACATGTTCTCAACAATTATTTATATGGATGGACATTCATATTTTTAGATCATGATCTGTTAAGACAATGGAGCAGTTTTTAAGACCATGATCTAGATAAACTGGTGTGTGTGCATATATATATATATATGTGAGTGAGTGAGTGAATAATACCTCTCTGAACTTCTGCAGGTAGACTTTAAGAGGCTCCACGTACATGTCAAAACCCAGAGTGGACATAGCAAACAGGATGTCCTCTCCATTAATGGTCTTGCGTTTCTCTTGATGGCATCTCTCGCTGGCCTCAGATGTGATGAAGCTGATGAACTCGCTTACACACTCCTGCACACACTCTTTTGCATCCTTGGCTATCTGAGATTAAAAAGAGTTGATAAAAAGGTCTTTACTTGTATTTAAGTTTAGGACATTCAAAGAGACAAACAACTTCTAACTTCTAGCTGTTTCTCTTGGATATACATCTTATCGCAACTCTCGTTTCATGCTGACTTTTTTCCCCCCATAGTCCATAACATTTTAAGTTAAACTCCCTGATATTGTATAGGTTTTCCAATAACATGGGAACAGTGTAAGATCTACCTTTCCAGTCTGCGGGATGGCATTCTTCATGATGCGGGCGACATTAGCGATGGGGAGGTAAATGTCTTGCTCTCGGAAATTGTCTTTGCTTCCGTTGCCATCCTCATGGTCATTAAAACTTTCATCCCCATCATCTGCACACATACAATGTACAATAAACATGCTGCTTCTTATGTCATAATAAATGTTTTCTTAATTATCTCGAACACAGGTGAATGATGTCCATGTCCTCACCATCCTGGGTCTGTAAGACATACGTCCCTCCGGTCATATACTCTCCAGTTATTCCTAACTGAGAAGTATCTGTGGTACTGCTGTCTCCGTCCATCTGAATAAACAAATAAGACAATGAGAGTTGTGTTAAAAACATTTATTACAGTTACAGCTTCATAATGTGCAAGAATACACTCATGGCCCAGGAACATCTAAATAACTCCCCCAGAGTATGATGAAAAAAATGTATAATGAATAGCACACATTGGGTTAAAGAATATTAAATATTTAGAAATACGTATAACAATATACATTTACGAAACATACTGTTATAGAATAAATACGTAATAAATGTGTGGAACGTGGCAGTGGATATGTTATTAGTATAATTGTTTGTATGCATCTCTAGAACTAGCAGCCCTTTGTTTTGATAGTCAGCTAGCACAGGTTAGCATCACACCAGCTCAAGCTAACTAATTACACTCATTTAACAGGAAGAAATAGCTCATTTGTGAACCATTTGGATACTTTAACCAGAAACTAACAGTCTTCTTTTGTCAAATAAACTTGCTGTTTATTAAACGTGGTTAAGTGTGGCTTCGGGGCCTCGCGTGCATTTAGCCTCCATCTCTCCACTCAAATAATCCCTTACCCATCCTCAAACAAGCATTCTTTCAACACTTCCTGCATTTAACTGCTCCTTCGGCCCGGTAAAACCAGTAAACGCCTGCCGGTAACATCCATTTCTACCCGTTAAACACGAGAATTATCGCTGAAGCGGATCATTTGACCGGAGCCACAAATACAAACCTGACTCGTGCTCGCGCTGCAACTTGATTGGACGGAAATGGGTCTGCGCGAGACAGTTTGTGCCCGCGCTTGGGCACGCGTGGATATCGGTCACCAGAGGGCGCGCTGAGTAGATTGTGAATTAAAGCTACAGAATCCAGTGCATTTAACTACATCTTGTAGCAAATGCTCTCTAATGACCTTAATCTTAAAAACGGTATTTTTTCTTCATTTGGTTTGATGATATGATAAAATTCATGCTCACTGTAGGCCTATATACATGTGGATAATTATAATATAATTTTATGTAGGCCTAAATAGGAGTAAATCAAATACATACTTCTTCTAATTTCCCATTCATTCCCCTTTTACAGGTCTCAGGTAAAGATGCTAGAGCTCAATTTGACAAAGAAACCGAATGAGGTGAATTTCAAACACCAATGCAGTCGTATCATCTCCAACTGTGAAAACTTTACCTTTTTTTCTGCATTTAATTGCTTTCATATTTTGACTTCTTGCTTTGTGACTGAATGATGTACCTGAAAAAGTAGGCTAAATAAACACTACACGTTTGTGTGGCAAAATCCACAAATAACTGCATTTACCAGGAGTTTCCATTCATTGTATGTGGCCTAGTAATTTTTTAGCTGTACAGTAAAAACTCCCCTCAGAGGACACCAACACATGACCTTGTAGTTCTGGCCTAATTCCCTTTTGGGAATGGACACCTCAGAAACTGCCTCTAATCCAGCAGGTCCAGAATGCAAAAACACTCATGAATTTTAAACGTTTCTGCTTCACTCAGCAGGCCGAGGACCTTGAATGCATAATGAGCGACAGGAAATGTTGTGGCAGTTTATATCCATATAAATTAAGACTTAATTTTCAATTTAGGTTTTGATACAAAATCTTCTGCACCCAACCAAGAAACTTATAGGAAGAAATGATGTAGAACATCTATGCATGCCACAATGTCATTAATAAATAATTAACATTGCATTAGACTTTCAGTTCTTGATTAGTTTCCTCTCTAAATCTCAAAAGTCATTTCCGTGATTGTGATTGTCTTAGTGTTGTATCCACGCCTCAGCACAGGGTGGCATCGACTCAGCAGCACTGTTTGCCTGAGGCTTTATGATCTAACTGTCATAGCAGGTTAAAATTCAATTAGCTGCGGGGTTTCTGTATTTAGGTTTCAGTTTTATTTATCTATGCAGTGTGTTCATTTATGGCTTTTCATCTTTGGGCTACCTGTTTTTTCTTCCTCTGGTCTTTCCAGCTTCTGCATTATTTACTAGCATATGGAAATATTTCTCACCAACCTGACCACAGATTTGTAATGTAGATTGGGATTTTTTTTAGGCCAGTATTTCCTTGCTGTGATGAACTTGCTCTTTTTTTTTGCATTTCTTGTCATTTTATTACAATTTTATTTTATTTATGTAGGCTATATATGTACACTGTGAAAGAATATTTTCATGATTTGTAATCACAACAATTTTTCTTTTGTCAAATCAACTTAGATAATTTATGTAGTTCAGATAACATAATATTTTGAGTTTCTGGTGATTAAATTAATCTCCTTCATTGTATTGACTCAATTTTTTCTATTTCAATGAACTTAAAAATTTAAGGCGACCAGCTCAACCTTTTTAAGTTAAACCAAACAATATTTTTTTACAGTGTTGGTTATATCTAAAAAAAAAAATGTCTACATTTTGTTAGGCTATTAATAATAATGGCAGTAGCAATACCACATACATTAGTTAATTGTTAATAATAATATTTATAAGAATTATTATTATTATTATAAAACCTTAACAGAAGCTACCATAACTTTCATCTAAAATGCCATGTTGACCTTCATAAACAACAAAATACATACAAATAAATAAATAAATAAAGATTACTTTGTTTGAATTGAATCAGACTTACAATAGAAAAAAATAAGTAGCCTAGACTTGAAATTTCATATATGCAATAACCACGCCATTCAGTGGCATATCTTAGTTTGAGATATGTGGATATAATGATATTTTGGCTACAGTACAGAATACAAACTGTAAGCTTATTGCAATCCGGGCTAAATTTATAAAGCAACATGATACACTTTTGACCTTTTTATTTACCTGCTGTTGAAGACAAACAAGTTTCAACTTTGAAAACTCACGAAAAGCGAAAGGAAATGTGAGAAATGAAAGGTTAAATGGAAACAAAGATGAAAGCGTGGGCACGCTCGTTCAGAGGGGGCGGGGCTTCTCCACTGTAGTCTACTGTGCGGAGGAAGCTAGCGCACTTCAGGGAGATCACGGAGATCTTTGAGACACGGACGCAGGCAGCGAGAGCATCAGCATCAAACACAGACCCGCTGTACGGGGCTCGGCAGCCTCCCTCCCTCCGTCCCTCCGGCTCTCCGTGCCCAGCCATGAAACAGACGTTACTGGACCTCATGAGGATGAGTAGGATCTGCCGGATGGTGCTGGCCACTTGTTTAGGATCTTTTATTCTGGTCATCTTCTATTTCCAAAGTATGTTCCAACCAGGTAGGACTTCGTGATGGTTTCATTCTAAAGGGTTTAAGATGCTCCGTTCCCTCTTTTGTAGCCCCCGACTTGGTGATTTAGTGTGGAAGAATGTCATTCATAATCAATGAGCTGTTTGAAAGAGCGCATCGATCATCAGCAGCGAGAGAGAGAGAGAGAGAGAGAGAGAGAGAGAGAGAGAGTCGGTGATGTAGCCTACTGACTCACATCAAAGCTCCAGCTCTCCGTAGCCTATCAATAATACCGTCCGCTTTTATGCGTTTTAATGTTTTATTTATATGAAGCACAACGGGTAGAGCCCGGGTCCGTTGTTTAGGGTTGTGTTGTGGAGGGATGGTCATTGTCTCCGGTGGCCGGTACAGTACAGTCAGTCAGTGTACTGAATGCTGACACACTGTACACACATCCATACATCAATACTGACGTACAGCTGACACACATCCTCTGCTGTTTCTGTTCATAACTGTTGTTTATATTGCCGATTTGCCGTGGCTTGTGAAATTGAAAGTAGTGTCTATCTAGCCTTGTTGTGAAATTGAATAGAAAGTATCTATCTATCTATCTATCTATCTATCTATCTATCTATCTATCTATCTATCTATCTATCTATCTATCTATCTATCTATCTATCTATCTATCTATCTATCTATCTATCTATCTATCAAAATGTAATTTTAAAATGTAAACCGACGGTTTGGTTTGTCCATGTTTGACCGAAACATCCATCCATCCATCCATCCATCCATCCATCCACACCTACTGAAACACATACACACATCTGGAAGTTCTATTGATAGATGATGTTGGATGTATAATTACATGTGTCTGCAAGACTTTTCCATTACCCCGCCCACCGGTTTGATTCATCTTGTCCAAAGCATGTAGCATGTCACCTGCTTTTTGGGGGAATTCCCATGCGCTGCGGATGGAAGATCCAGATAAGGACAATGAGACCTGTGTATAGTGCAGTAGTCAGTAAGCGCTGTGGTCACCGGCATGCTGGAATGTCTCTGGAAGCGGTGAGTCATCAGCGTCACCGGCATGTGAAGGTTCTCATCAGTCCGCTGGAATGCCCGTGTCATCATCATCATCATACACAAACGGGATGCTGAAACGAGACGGAGGAACTGATGAGCTCATGCACACTCATCCAGAGAAGATCATGACATGTAACACTCAGGTCAACAGCATCCCATGGTCTGCTGGGATGTACAGGCATTTCTCTCCATGGTGGTGCAAGCAGCTGTGCGTCCCACATGCTTATGAACAAAATACAACAGTCTCCCTTATGCTCCGCATTGGCTTGACAGGTGTTTCAGTTTCCTCTTCTCTGTGTGTGTGTCTATGGCGGCATGCCCTTGCTCTTTTGTCCTTTCCTCCCCCTGTGTGACCTGATTTTGCACTCAAGCTTACAAACACACCCCGAGAACACACTGGCGCACACACACATATACACTCACATTGGAAAGAGCCTCAAATGGACCTGAGCAGTTGAGTGACAGGGCTGACGTCATGCTCCAGTGTGTTTGTGATGAACAGAGAATGAGGACATCCATAAGGAAAATGAGATCTTTTAAAGGAATTTTTTCCAGGTTCAATACAAGTTGAGCTCAATCGACAGCATTTGCGGCGTAATGTTGATTTCCACAAAAATTTAATGATAAATCCCACCTTTTCATAAAAAAAGGCAAAACACTGTCCCCGAAACACTGCTGCCTTGTTAATAAATGGCCAAAACGCATACGTTTTTATAGGATATTTAATAATTCTATATTTATAGAAATTTTCTTTAACATAATAATGTGCTCAGATTTGTCAATGTTCAAAAACCAAAGACAGATCGCATTCCTCCATGTTAAAGTTGTTTGTCAATGCTATCCACGTTCATTTTATAGCTCAATTGTCTCTATTTTTATTTCTCCTGAGGAATTTTAGAAGAAACATCAGAGGGAAAAGTTACTGAAATGAAGAATAACTGAGAAGCCTTGATAAGAGCAACCTCTTGAGTGTGACAGCTTTCCTCTTGGCAGGACTGGAGAGATAGAAAAGAGAGGGAATTATAGGCGTGGAAAGGAACTAAAATGAGTTGTCTTAAGAAAAGAGATAAGGAATGTCTGCAGGGAGTTCAACATTCCTCAAGGGTTGGTTACTCGGGACCGGGACGGGGACTCAGACCAGCAGACCAAAGAGTCCCGGCTCTTCCTGAGAGCTCAGATAAGGCCGTTTCTGTATTTGTGTGACTGACTTTCCCTGACGTACAGCAGTCTTTCTTCCGAGTCTGTTGAGGAGGCCTGGCATTTGATGTCAATGAATGATAAAGGTCACGTCAACATGGAAACAAATGACATATCAAAGCTCAAATCACACCGACTGTTTGCCTGCCAGTTCCAAGCTCATTGTTGTTGTTGTTTTTTTCCGTGTCCATTTTTTGGGAGAGTGGATATCCTGTTTGTGTGATCTTGGTGGGTCGGTTCTTTGTTTTCCAAGCCATCAGCTTACTCACACCCACATGCTCACGCTGGTCCCAGAGAGATTTGGACACTGGTACAGCTGCAGAATGAATATTTCAGAATACATGTTTATAATGTTCTGTAACTATACACGTATCAAATTCTGTAATAATAAAACGAATACATTAACTGTAATTTATTTAATTAATATTATAATTAACATTACAAATTTTAATTAAGAGTATTTTATAATATAATTCTTTCTTTCTTTATTCTTATAATGTTCAATAATATTCTAAATGTATTTAATTGCAAAAACATTTAATATATTTTTTTTGTAATAATATAACTAATAATAAATTAATTTAAATAATCTTATTTTAGGAATTGGCAAATATTATAATTAGAGCTGTCAAATACACAGTGCACCCACATATATTATGTAAACACAAACTTTTATTTTGGATGCGATTAATCGTTTGACAGCCCTAATTATATTAATTTTAATAATTAAATAATTTAAATCAATTAAAAAAATATTAAACATTTTTATAATATATCTGTAATAATTGTATTTAATTACAATAATACAGTATATAAACACCCACACACAATATATATACTATTAAATAATCTATAATAACATAATTATAAAGCAATTAAAATAATATTATAGGAGAAATGTGGACAATTGTACAGCTGGAGTAACATTTGAGAATCAGTGTTATTCAGATACATAATACAAATGAGCTTCAAGCTAAGTTATTTAGCCTTTGTAACATAAATGTAGAAGTGAGATAAGGTTTGATTAACGGGCCTAATTCACATTCTCTTCACTGCACTTGTTGTTATTGCGCTGAGCCTCGTGTTCGAGCCAGAGATTGTGTCATTGGAGCCCACCAAAGCAATTTGGTCGATATCCATCTGCTGAAACGGATTGAATTCGTGGCTCACACTTCCTGATTTGTGATTTTGGTCAGCATGCGAACATCTGCTGCCATGAAACCTGGCCCACACATGCCCTGATAAGCTTGTATCTTCGGAGAATGCCAACTCTATAGGAATACCCTGCATGTCTTCCTTCTTCTTTCATTTTTGTTGATGTGAAAAGCCACGCGTGTATGACGGACCGCCTCGTGCTTTCTGCACATCTGTCCGCCTCTCTCTTGCCCTTTCCGTCTCTCCGGTGGTTAATTGTTGAAGCCATGTGCGTGAGATAAAAGGTGTGCACATGTTTGTGGTTTATGAGTCAGCCCATTAGTCTCATTAAGCTCAACTTGTACCGTCTGCGGAGTGTTGTCGTGGGAGGAGCCGTGTCTTAATGATGGAAAACCGCATAAGTGTCTTTTACCAAATCCAACATCTGGATGCCAGCCACCCGCATCTGGAGGAAGCTGGAAGAATGAAGAGATCTCTGCGTATGGATGGATGATTATATCCCAAATCCCATAATAACGTAGCTTTTTTTTAGGAGCCGGTGCTTTAAATATTTTGGTAAAGTGAGTTTGTGTTGCGTGATTATGTGTTGCTCCTTTTTCGAATTTGATAATTACAGAGTTGTGGGGTCATGGTGTGTGCAGATCCCAGAAGAAGTGCTCCGAGGTTGCTCTTTTATAGCTGAGGAGAGATAAACTTATATATAAGTGACTTGGACTTGAATCTTTTATTAAAGGTCCGTAGGGGAAATAAATATAGACACAGGCGAGACAATTGCTGCCATATAAAAGTACAGAGGTATAAACTGAGTGAGTGTGCTGATATTTATAACTTTGATGAAAAAGAAATGTGGGTTCTTTTGTTCAGCAGGACTTCTGGGAGAAAGAAATGAGATTTTTTTTTGTTCTAATGGGCATAATGAAAAGTGTGTGCATGTTTGTGTGTGTGAGTGTCTCATTAGGCCCTTTGTCAGCCTGCTATAGCTATAGTAGTCATTATGCACTACGTGGAGTGTCAGCGCGTGCTGAATTGAGTGTCTCGTTGGCGAGAGTATTGATAAGCATTGATCTTACCGTATGACTTGAGCTCTAGGCTGTTAATGGGAGAAGAGGGTCCCTAACCACATCTGGCTATTGTTTATGCCCGTTACCATGACGACGGGAAGATGTTTCATCTGTGACAGAAAGAACAATGAAACCAATGAAGGGTTAAAGGGTTAGTTCACCCAAAAATGAAAATTCTGTCAGTATTTACTCACCCTCATGTTGTTCCAACCCCGTAAGACCTTCGTTCATCTTCGGAAAACGAATTAAGATATTTAAGATATTAAAATCGCTCCTGCATACAGTCCATAGGCTTCTTGAGGGACTGGCTCTTGCCGTCCCCGAAAAGTCATAAAAGACATCGTTAAAATAGTCCAAGTGACTACAGGGGCTCAATCTTAAGTTTATCAAACGACGAGAACACTTTTGTGCGCAAAAAACAACAAAAATAACGACTTTATTTCAACTATTTACTTCCTTCTCCATAAGCCTATAGTCCGTTAACGTAGTGTGATTGCGTAGAGCTACGTCACACGTAGGCTCAATATTGGCCGACGCTGGTCATGTGTGTGTGATGCGTGTGACGTACAATAACAGAAGCTTACGCTATTAAACTAGTTAGCTGACTCGCGCAGAGGGAGAAATAAACGAATAGTTGAAATAAAGTCGTTATTTTTGTTGTTTTTTTGCGCACAAAAGTGTTCTCGTCGTTTGATAAACTTAAGATTGAGCCCCTGTAGTCACTTGGACTATTTTAACGATGTCTTTTATGACTTTTCGGGGACGGCAAGAGCCAGTCCCTCAAGAAGCCTATGGACTGTATGCAGGAGCGATTTTAATATCTTAAATATCTTAATTCGTTTTCCGAAGATGAACGAAGGTCTTACGGGGTTGGAACAACATGAGGGTGAGTAAATACTGACAGAATTTTCATTTTTGGGTGAACTAACCCTTTAAGAATGTCACACACACACACACACACACATGCAAAAGACACAATTAACTGAAGTTATGCACACCATGATTGGAATCATTGATGCTTCACACATATCAAATATAATAGAAGCCATTTCTTTCAAAAAGCTTCTTGGTTTCCTTTTGTGTTCTTTGGGTGAATCTCACATGTCTGGGTCATATTTTGCATTTCCTTGACAATAAATTCCCCCTCTAATTCTCATTATAATGCAAAATGCAAACAATGCAAAAATTCTAAACAAGAAAATAATGGCACAATTCATAATTTATTTTTTTTACACTGTAAATTGTTGGTTTAACTTAAAAAAATTAAGTAACCTGGTTGCCTTCAGTTCAAAAAGTGAGTTAATACAATGAAGGAGAATGATTTAATCATCAGAAACTCAAAATTATATGTTATCTGAACTAAATAAATTATTTAAGTTGATTCGACAAAAGAAAAAATGTTGTGATTACTAATCATGAAAAGATTTTTTTTACAGTGATTTCTTTTAATTATTGGTTCTGAAATACGACCCACACTTTTCCTTGTGAAATGGTTTTAAAAAGGTTTTATTCCGAATTAATTACGTTCTTGAACAGAGCTAAAGTGAATTATGGTTTTTAATAAGGGCAATGGTTTGACTGTGCATGTATGCTTTTAGGAGGGGTGTGTATTATACAGACTTCTCCTCATTATGGTGTGAAAATAGCCAAATGAGAGTTATCTATCACTATCCGCTAGTTCTGAACAAACATACTTGTCTTAAACTCTCACATTTATATATGTGCATAAGAGGTTGATTTGTTCTAACGATACTTAATAGCTCATCCTGTCCCTTGGTTAAAACATATTTATTAGTCCTGCAGGACAAAGGAAAGACAGAGGACCAAAGAGAGACAAAGAACTCGAGTGAGAAAATATGCGACGGTGGAGAAATACCACATTTCACAGGGTGTAAGCGATCACCATGGAAACAGCAGCATGTATGATGTGTGTTTTGAAGGGATGGGGTGTGAGAGTGTAAACAGGTGTTCACACGTGTGCGTGTGTGTTAGGATGCTTTTCTCTTGAAGCATTTTGATATGAAGGCTCACTCCCTTGAATAATAAGATGATGGGGGGATACAGTGAGAATCCATGGCTATTAATAAAAAGTTTTTTTATCCAGTTTAATTCCTCTTCTGCATTGAAATAACACGAAGCAGTGAGCAATCGCAGAGACACATTACAGTTGCTATGAGTGCAGGACGGATGTAAAAAAGAGAAAGCAAAACAGAAATCAAGAGAGTAGTGTTGGGATAGAATCATTAAACAGTGGGTGTGTAAGCATACACATATACCCGGCTTTTATGATTTTTTAACTTAATGTGCGTAACTAATAAAAGGTTACTAGTTAAGTAGGCTAAATTTATATTTTACCACCATTTCAAATTACTTATTTGTATTATAAATGTGTCATTTCTGTGTTACTAAACAATATTGACCGTTTTCAAAAAGGTTTCCCCAAACACTCCCCTCATCTCCCATTGGTTGGACAAACTGATAGTCCCACCCCCAAACTAACTACCCATTGATTGAGCCATTTTAGCATCCAAAAATATGTCAAAGCATCCATTACTAATTTGAAAACATCACGTTAAACAGCAAATTTCTAAGTTCTTGGAGTAACAAAGAGGCACCGCCATTGCTTTTATACGACAGTTCTAGTAACAAAGAAGTAATGTTGAGTAAGTTTTAGATTTAAGACAAAATATTGGCAGTTACTTTGTCTTTTATATCGCTCATCTTCACAAAAATAAAAGTAGCATTTCACTCTGAATCCTGAATGAATCAGCGTGTTTGAACACACCTACTGTAAAGTTTAAAGATCAATATAAGCTTTAAAGACTTTAAATTGCTTGAGCATTTCAGAGTGGTAGAGATAACTGCAGTGCATGCTTATAATAAACAGAATGTGTGTGTTTTTGGCACTGTTCCTGGTATAATTTGCATGGAGTGTGAGTGACTCTTCTTGGTTTGACTACTGTCACCCCCCAACATGGCTATTTTAAGATCTCACTTCTGCATAGTCCTCTTCCAGTCTGTAATTTTGTGGTATGTGTATTTCAGTTACTTTAAAACCATAGCATTTTGCTTTGAGAAGAAGGAAAAGAAACCTTAGCAGTAACATGCATGCTATTTAGTGAACAGATCATATTGCACGTGGAAGTGTGTGTGTTTGAGTAAATAACAGTGCTGTATAGAGCGTCTCACTCACAGCATTAGTGGACAAAGTCTGATTATTAAGAAGTCTCAGTGCTGTTGCTGTTCGCTTTTCTAATTCACATTTTTTGTACATTATCTTGGCTTCAAAAGTACGCCCTTGGCCGTGACATGAAGACATCCCATAAGTGTACTTCCTTTTCATGTTCCCATGGCAACAGTAGTTGCAGTGGCCCTTATGGGGGCTTTTTGGTAAGAGGTAGCGGGTGATTTACGGGCCTGATTTTCTGAGCATGCTCCAAATAGTAACACAAGACAAAGAGCCAAAACAGTGCGAAACACTGCTCACACAGACCGCATCGCACGGCTGTTCACTCACATAAAGCTGATTGTTCTCTGATTTTCTCTCATAAAAGCAGCCATTGTTTAATATCATCTAAAAGACACTGAGGTTTATTTCATGGAGTAGACTATTCTGACTCAATTTCACAATTTTGACTTTTCCGCTGAGAATGAATTCTACTGAGGATTAATACAAAATACTGCGATTAATTATTTATTGTCGTTTTGTTCATGCCATTTAAATGTATGAAATGGATAAATTCTCATAATCAAATATTTGCAAACAAATATTGCACTGGGTACAATTACATTATTTATTTATTGTAAACAAACTAAAATTCAAATATTAAAATATGAATAAATATCACAATGATTCATGCCATTTACATCTAGGAAATGTATGAATTATCATAATCAAACATTTGCAAACAAATAAATTATTTAAAAAAATGAAATGTACTAAATAATTCACTATGATGATTTTTGGAACCTATAGCCAACCTAAATATGATAGTAAATTATTATTATTATTAATGCAATTTAGAATATTATTTTTTTTAATATGGTCTGTTATGATTTTAGTAAAAAATAACTATTATTATGATTTATATATATATATATATATATATATATATTTAAAATTGTGTTGGGTTATTATTTTTAAGTGATATTATTTTCATTAATATTGTTTATTAATATGATAGTTAATAATAATAATGTTTAAATTATATTGTCATTTTATTAATATTAACAAACTTTTGTGACATAGCTTTTCATTAGTCTTACCCAGTACCTGTAAAGGCTGAATATATTTGGGATGCTTGTGAAATAAAGTTAAACAAGAGCATTTTGGGTTCACAATGAATGTTAAAACAGTCAAAAGGAGCCGCACATCTTCTATAATGGAGTGTTTTGGGGCAATCATTGTGGATTTCAGGCTATACGTGTTTGTAATGTAAAGTCCACAACAAATTGCAGTTATTTCAAAAGCTCACACATAGCCTTATATAACTGATAACACTGTAAAGAACAATAACCGTAACATTTGTCAGGTGAGCAGAGCACCAGAGGGAGAGGAGATTCAGACTGGAAAATGCTTGAACCACACTTGTAATTTGAAGGTTGTCTGATTTAATGAAGCTAATTAGGGGTGTAAGTGGGTGATCTAATCAAAGCGCACTCTAAACAGAAGGACTGTGGATGTGAGAGGCCCATCAGTCTGACCCCCCCCACCCCGCGCTGAGCAGTAATGGTACGCTCCCATGTAATGGACTGCATGGATCACTGTTGTGTGTCTCTGGGGTGGGATCGGTTGGCGAGCACATTATTTGGGTTACTCTATCTTTTCCTCTTTTCCTCTTTGCCACTCTCAGTCTAAAACATTCATGAGGTTCCTCGGGTCAAATCAGTACCAGTCTCGTGCAGTTAGACCGTGACTAATAGCATCAGGCCGCCCACTTAGACAGGAAGACAACATCTGACACACATGAAAAGCAGGCAGCCAACTACAATCTGTCGTTAACAAATGATCTGTATTTTAACGGTAAAATACTGTAAAAATGCTACAGTTATACTGTTAATCGGTTAACAGAAAGTTTCCTTACTATATACGGTAAATAAATGTGATAGA